ATGTATCTCGAATAGATTATTAGATATAGAGTTAAAAATAATTGAGAGATAATACACATATATTGTAGGTTTACTTTTATTACTGACTAAACCCGGTAACTCTGGTAATCTTATAAAGATTATACGAATTCCCAGAACTGCTCGCTTATATACTGTAAATTTACCTAATCTAATCTTTTAATAGGTTATTATCAAATTGTTAATCAAATAATTGATGCGCAATTTATGCCACATAACCACTTACAGAACTATTTATTACAAACTTTCCGCAAATAAAAATCTTGAAATGACAAAAAAAACTTAAGGTGAAACTAAGTATGAGCAATTTCTAATTATTTAAGAAGATTTAAGCTAAAAGATATATTTTCGTTAACTATTTGTATTTAATTTTTGAAAACTTCCGTCAAATCAGTCATTACAGTATGAAAATAAAGATGTTATATTATATGCATCAAGTTAAAACAATTTCATGAACATTAAATTAAAATCTGGATCTGGGCCTTTCTATAACAGTAATTCTCAATGAGTATCATCCTACATTGACTATTTATAAATGTAGTCTATGAAACAAAATATTTAAAATTTAAATTAATCTTTCAAATATTGTTGAGTACAGAAAAATATAAAAAATTAAACATAATTTGTATGTAAAAACAAACCAAGAAAGTGGTTTTAAATTACAGCGTTTTTCATTTTATATTCTACATCCCTAATTGATGAAACTCAAAAATATTATGCTTGATTAATTTTCAATTTTTGTGAATATGATTAAAATTTAAGATATAAAATCATTGAAATTTTCTAAGTTCTCAGCAAGTATTTTAATATTAATCAATAAATAGTAAGTCTAATTTCATAATTATCCAATTATGATGCGAATTTAAGGTCCTCAATTCGTAATTATCTAATTACTATTGTAAATTTAAAACTTTTTGTTGATAAATTCAGCTTTTTTTATAAATCTAAATTTTTCACTTTTCCACCACTTTCAAGTAGCAAATATTGTGAATAACTGATAACGTTTATTTTATTTTCTAATACAATAATAATTATAAAAATAATCAAACAAAGTGATATCATTCTATATCAAAATATCATACGATTATAAAAAATTCCTTTATTTCTCTAACATGACATTTTCTTATCATCATAAATTATATGTCGAGTGGATCGATAATCATTTGTAATCATTTGGACAAATTGGTATATAAAGGAAAGTAGATATAATTATTTCTCAGAAATACGTCTTAAATCATTTCGATTATATTACCTTTACCAGTTCTGTGAATAAATTGATAAGAAAAATAATGATTATTAAATGAATTGAAATTTAAAAAAAGTATGGACGCTTCAAAATTAATCTAAGCTACATTCGATGATTTTAAACCATTTCAAATTTAACGAGGCTGTTTCAGAGAAGAAATATCAAGCGCGTAAGCGCCCTGGCGCAATCAAACGGATCAAAATTTGAACTTATTATTCAAATCAAGATATAAAATTTCTAACAATTTGATGCGCATATGTCTAATGATCATTTTTGATTGCCCAATGGCTTTTTGTACTTTTTTCTTTGAATCTCCGAAACCGCTAGACCTGCAATCCCAATAATTCCCAATTCAATTTGTTTTAAATTTTATTTAAAATTGTTTTAAATAAATTTGTTTTTTGAGTTATTCAAATCGGACGCTCCATTCTCTCAAATACTCAATTTTTATTTTTGGCTCTATTTGCCCCGTATCTTCGAAACGGCTGAACCTGCCTCGGCCAAAAGCTAATCGTCTTCTTATCAATAGCAATCAAGTGGATTTTAAAATATGTTGATCCGGGCTCTCGAAATCGTCGACAAAAAATAGAAAAGTGAGAGAAAAGTATTCCGTGTGGATTTGTTACACATAATTGAAAACGAACGAACACGAAATATTTTCTAAAAGCAAATTTTCACAAATCTATAGTTTTATAACTGAACCAAAGACCGTGATATTTCAGTAAGTTCTATAAGACCATGACCTATATCGCAAAAAAAAAGTTCCAAAACAATCGGCTTAAATTTCTTTTTCAACAGTTAATTACAAGAAAACGGCTCGGTAGATTTTCACCTAAAACTAATCAGTATCATTCCCAATTAACATCTTCAGAACAGTTTCTGATTTTTTAAAATCGATTTGGTAGTATGAGCTTAAATGTGGACAAAAACACTTTTTACCAAATTATAAAGAAACGGCCGATCGCTGCACAAAGCTGAGAATAGATGATCCACATCAAAATAAAACGATTGCCTTTTAAATTTTTCAAACCGGTTCAGGCGTTTTTGAGCAAACGTCGATGAAATTTCTAAGATTGACAAACGTCAAAAAAACGATACTAATTTTTGCAAACTTTTATGAATTTTTAAAATTAAACGACTTGTCGTAGGGCCGTAATATTTTAGTATGATTTATAAGACTGTCAAAAAAAATCATAAAAAACATCTAAAAAATTTTTTTAACACTTTATTACAAAAAAAGTCTCGGCCGATCTTTACCAAAAACTAATCAGGTCGATTCCCAATCTTTATCTTTCGAACAGTTTTTGAATTTTCAAAATTGATTCAGAATTGCGATCTAAAATGCGGACGAAAAATTTTTCACTTTTCTGCGATTTACAAAGAAACGGTTCGGCCGATTGTAGCGCAAAACTAAGAAACGCCAGTCGTCATTGAGATACATCGAAAGGCTTTTACATTTTTGAAATGGGTTCTCCGTTTTCAAGAAAACGTTGATTTACGGCAAAAAAATCTGTTGACACACACATACTTTTTTCAAATTTGGTCTCATTCGATTCAGAATGTTTTGAAACGTCAAGAAAATATAAAATTAGCGAATCGGATTTTTTTATGAAAACAAACTTTTTCTTCGGGAAGTTAATAATTTGAAAATCGTGGTATTTTAAGGTATGCTGCTGAATGAATCCAAACAAGTCTGTTGTTTGTTTCACTAAGTTTTGCTTTAGATTTTTTTAACTTCCCGTAGGGTAAGTTATTGTAATGGGCCGAAAATCGGAATTGAAAATTTTTACATTTCTCGACGTTTTGAAGGTTTCTGAACATTTTGGCATACTTCAGAAAAAATGGATGTGTGTGTGTGTGTGTGTGTATGTGTGTGTGTGTGTGTATGTATGTATGGATACAAATTTTCGCCCACGTTTTTGGGCGCACGGATCAACCGATTTGAATGGTTCAAAAAACATTCGATTCCTATTGATAGGGAAAAGAGCTGATTAGTTTTTGGCAAAGGCAGGTGCAGCCGTTTCGGAGATACGGAGCAAAGAGTGCAGAAAATAGAAATCGAATTTTTGAGAGAACGGAGTATCCGATTTGAATGATCTAAAAAACATTCAATTAGTAATGATTGGGAGAAGTATTTGTTAGTTTTTGGCAAAGGCAGGCCCAGCCATTTTGAAGATACGGAGCTAAATATGTAAAAAATGGCAGTTTTTGAGAGAACTAAGCGTCCGATTTAAATGATTCAAAGAACTTTCTGCTTGTCTTAACAAAATAATTGATTTTGGAAAAAAAATTTTGTTCAATTTTTTTTTTTTTTTTTTAGTTTTGTGTATATCGAAAATATTTCAGATTTTATTTTTAATTCTGACTATAGTTCTAATATACTTCACAAATAATTTCAACTCTGCAATTCAGTTTATATAATTCTTATAAATATTAGACAATGTTACAATATTTATAATAATCTATTTGAAAACAATCAGTATTTCTCGAACATTTCGTTACGGTACGGGAAGTTTCAGCAATTTGCCTTAAGGCACGATGCCATAATTGCCTCAAGATAGAATTCCACTTACAGCTAGTTTATTTCTTTTATTGGCCTCTGGTAAACATTTAGCCACATACATAATGTACAATTTACAGGTAACATATATATTATATTAATTACTTATAACTTAATTTTACTATTATTAACAAACCTAATTATGTAAGGATAACAGTTCAAATTTTGCAATAATGATGTGAAATTAAAGGGTTTTATCAGTGTTTTTATAGAGTGTAGTTCCTCTAACAATTTAGCCCTGCTTGACTCAAATATACTACATTCTAGTATGATGTGTTCAGAAACACATGATTATTTATATGTACCATTTTAAAAATATTTTAACAAAGGGACGATCATCAAAAAATACTTTCTTTCAGCTGAAATATAAACCCTAAATCCATTTCCACAAAAAACACCCTAAACCTAGCAACATACAAAATAGTCTTGTAACAAAGCTTGATGATCAAATAGGGAAGTATTGTAAATAATGAGTGAATTATTTGAATATTAAATAATAACAAATGAAATTTATGCTATTTGGTTTGGACTTGCCAACGTTGGCAAAATCGGTTTGGACGTGGGCTAGCCCAAATTATTCCGGTTTGCTAGTTGGATACCAACTTCTCTCAGCCAGATATCAAGCAGTACATCAAATTTTCACTTAAGTTGCAGATTGATATATATCAAATATAATTTCAAGCAAAAATCGTCTCTCGTGGGCCTAGCTAAAATATACATAAAAAATGTATACAACTACTTCGAGTACAACTAAGTATTCGAACAGGTAATTATTCACAACTGCATTGGTCAACTACTGAATTGATCGTCCAAAAAGCCATATAATAACATCAAAACAATTACTGAATATCCTAGTATGACAAATTGTATGAGATTTTGATAGTTTTTACTACCAATTTATATGAAGAAAGAAGTCAAACATAGATTTGCTTTAGCTTTATGTTACAGTCTATGTTATCGGAGAATTGATACTTAAAATTCTACTTTTATATCGAATGTTAAATGAAAAATTTTAATCATTTATTTTTTAAAAAAAGTCTAAGGTTCAGAAATATAAAAACATATGTAATGGTATGCTCATGGCGATTAGCACGATAATATCGATTTATCTATATCAAACGAGCAAATCGATAATAACTTTGATATAATTAATATAAATGTAGGAAGCTTACTGTATCTCGCATTAATCGTATGTTCACAACAATAAAGAGTTTATCTTTGAGAAACATCTCTGTAATTTTAAATTTAACATATTGTAGTGTTTAATAACAAGTGGTAAAGTCGATCAAACTTGTCAATATTAAACAAAGAAAACATCTACGAAATGAGCAGACACGAAGAGGATGATGCATGTAAGTAAGACACTGGAAGAAGAAATTTTCTGAAGCTTTCAGTTTAGTGTAGTAATCTATTAAGTTCAAAATCATCGATAATTAAAATGCAATTTCAAATTGGTTTTAACCTCTAAAGTTGTTAAATTGGTAATACAATGAATATTAACCTTAAACAAGTTTTTTTTTCAGTAATTTTTTTTTTGATTTTTATTATCATTTTTCTGCGAACATTTATTCCGGTTTCTCTATAAAGTTAGTAGATTTAAACAGCCAAAGATTATTTGGGATTTTGATAAAACTTTTGATGGCAATAAAATCAATAGTGCAAATTAAACCTTTAGAATAGGTATATGAGATGTTTTGGAACAGTAGAATTTACACCATGCAAAGTTTCACCAAACCAAAGGTTATTTTTTGTGCATTTTATGTACAAATAAAGAATGTATGGACAACAATTACATGGAGTTTTGTTGTTTAATGTTATCTATTTATTTTAATTATATGTTTTGTTTTTAATGATGTTATAATCAATCTCAAGCGTTTTTCAAAAACTTCATTAATCATCAGTAATAGTCTTAATTAAGTAGTAACTAAAATAATATAGTGTTGAAGTAGAAGTTAAAAGCCAATCACCTTTGACATGTTTCAATTGGCCTTGAATGAACTAGTTTGTAGTGCTTCTTATCAAATGGTGCAATGTCATTTTAACAATTGTATAAGCATGCCATTTCATCCGAAAATGAACAAACATAAATAGATAATCAAGATTTTATCAAACACCTAATTATTGCAATAAAATTGGTCAAAATTAATAATGGCATAAGTTTATTGATTTTAATATCGTGATTACAAAGAACAATAGATGTCCAATAGATAGATAGCCAATAGTCCAATTAGATAGCCAATAACATGAGAAAACCACCCATAACATTAACGTCTGAAGGCTCAATATATTGAGCATATATACGTTAAAACTGATACAATCGCGGAAACGCTATTAAAACTATCCAAATTTTAAACCAGTGGTGTATGGCATCGCGCCTTAAGGCAAATTGCTGGAACTTCCAGTACCGTAACGAAATGTTCGAAGAAAATTAAATGCTTTCAAAAAGATTATTATAAATAGTGTAATGTTGTCTAATACTTATAAGAATTATATTAACTGAATTACAAAGTTAAAAATTATTCACTTAAAGTATATAAGTGAGCTTAGAACTTTAACCAGAATCAGAATTGAAATCTGAATTATTTTCTAATTATTTAATACAATTTTTTTTTTTTGATTTTTTTTTTTAAATGAAATGGAATAATTTTTGTTCTAAAAGCAATTGTTTCATCAACACAAGCAGAATGTTTTTTAAATCGTTTAATCGGATGCTTATTTCTCTCAAAAACTGCCATTTTTTGTACATTTAGCTCTGTTTCTTCAGGTCTTAGCTGGACCTGCCTTTGCCAAAAACTAATTACCACTTCTCCCAGTCATTACAAATTGAATGTTTTTTTGGATACCCCGTTCTTTTATAAAACGAGATTTTTATTTTCTGCACTCTTTGCTTTGTATCTCCGTAACGGCTGGACCTGTCTTTGCCAAAAACTAATCAGCATATCTCCCTATCAAATGGAATCGAATGCTTTTTGAACCATTCAAATCAGTTTATCAAAAACACACACACATCTATTTTTTCTGAGGTATGGCAAAATGTTCTGAAACATTCAAAACGTGAAGGTATGCAAAAAATTTCGGCCCATTATAAAAACTTACCCCACGGGAAGTTAATTACCCTAAGAAAAGTTAATAAGGTCACTGTGTCGTTTTGTTCATATATGCCCTTTTTGTCCGTATTTTCACTACATATTTATGTTCCAGTTTCAAATCATTCCAAAATACGGATGGTCGTCGGTCTTTATCCGTTCGACATCGAAGGCACAAACTTTTCTTTCGACGCAGGCGACCAAATGCATTTACTGAAAGAAAATCCTAAACCTGGCTATTATGAGGTTATGAATCTACAAACGAGAGAAAAAGCACTTGTGCCAAAAGCATTGGTGGTCGAATATGGAAGAATTGAAAATGAAGAGTGAGTAAATATAATAATGATGTCTTGACTAATTACCATGATATGATAATGAAGTTATGCAATTACTATGATAACTGACTCTTAAATTGGTTGAAGCGGGGCTTAAAGGTCCGCGGGTGAAAAAGTCTACCACCGATATCTCAGAAACAAGTAAAATAAATAGTCTTTTAATAATTATAGTTATCCAATAAGACATTGGATCCGTTTGCTCATTACCAGTCGCATTTTACACCGCATATCAAATAAAAAGGGACAGGTGATAAATTTTAGAAACATTGTAAAAAACACATTTATATAATTAGCAATTAACTGGAGATTTAACTGCAGATAATATGATAGTACCTTGTTATGATACATTTGATATGTGTTGTGAAAGTTCATTTTGTATAATAACGTCAAATTGGACCTTTGTGCCCCGCCTTACCCTATAGTTCTACAGCATTTTTAATTCACAATTTTTAATAAAATAGTTAGTAAATTTTATGACATATTTTGAAATTTCAGCTGGTATATAGGAAGTGCTACATGGGAACAAATAAAGATGATATTAAGTGAGAAACAGAAACCACAAAGCTTTCTAATTTTGAAAAACGGAGACAAAAAGTTTTTGCTCGGATTTCTAGATTCAATAAAAAATGTAAAGCGTTTTGATATCGAAATTAATGATAAAGGAAGGTTTCATATTCCCGAAATAGGAGAGGAAGCGTCATTTGCAAGCTTGCCTGCACTCGTTTGGTATTATAAAAGTATGTATTTAAATATAATTGTATTAAGAATCGTATCGAACATATATTTAAATACAGTTTTTAATTTCCGCATTTAAAAAACAATATTATGAACAAAAAGTTATAAATATAAACATATATCTCTGACAATGCCTAAGATTAGATTACTTCCATTTCTAAGTAGCCACCAGTAGTTTGTTCACAGCAACTGTCATCATTCTAAAGTATTTGATTACACAATATAGCAACTATAAACCAGATGTAAGTGGCATTTTGCTTTAAGTTAAGTTGCATACCTATAGATAATTAACAAGAATCAAGATTTACCACTTTTCGTAGATCTTCAATAATATAGAATGTTCGTTCAAACCACTAACTATATCGTAAGAAAGACCAATTTAAAAAAAATAATAATAAGCAGAATACCAACTGTCGACATTTTTTTCAGAATGTTGTATATGAATAATATTTGATCAACATATAAAATACCTTTATATATTGATTTTTGAATAAACATTTGTACTTCTAGCCAACAATCTCGTGCAAGATTTGAAGTTGTCCGAGCCTGCTATAATAACGTCTCATATTAAACGATTTCTGAAAAGATCAACAGAAGGCGCCAAGAACAATACAACAATAGAAGCCTCCAACGAAGAAATGCAAAATTCAGATAGAATGGTATTTGGCAATACTGATCAATCGCTTTGGACAAATAACACCTTGGAAAAAATTGCAGATGGATTAAATGCTTCCGAGACAGAACAAGTGGTTTGCAACCCTTCTTTACCATTCGAGCCCGTAGAAATTTCTGATGACGATGACGACGATCATAAATACATTCAAACTGCCAATGAAGATTCTAGAGATACATTATTATTAGAAAAATCACGTTCAAGAATATCGTCAGAAATGATTTCTGCTGATGCTTCTACCAGTATATACAAAAAAATTGCAAGTACACACCCAAATGAAGTTGAAAGTAAAGGAAAGTCCTCACTTGATAATAATTTGTCGCCAAATCTGAAACGAAGAACTATCGAGGAAATGTTTCGTGAGCTCCCTTTAACATCTGCTAGTACACGAGAAGAACAACCGCCAAATAAGCAAATGCGTATAGGTAGTTTATCAATCAAACGTACAAATATATTATTATTTATATTATATCCCAAATTATTAAAAATATCAACTATATCTTTTACTATCTTTACAGATTCTTATAGAAAACAAAACAACATACAAAATAAACAGATAACGTTTGCTGATAGTGGAACATCCGAAGAACAGAGCGATGAAGAACTACAAGAAAAACAATTGTCACAGAGTGAAACGGCAAAGAAAATATTTTCACCGAATTTAAATAATACGTTATGTGATGTAGTGTCAAAGAAAACACTTGATATAAGACAGAATAAAAATTCTAATAAGAACCATGGTCTGATAAATGATATATTGTCAAGCGAAAAAAGTGGTTTAGGCCCAAAGAAAAAACTATCCAGTGATAAAACATTGCCTTCAGAGTCTTCTCCAAATAGACCATCACAAGAAGTTCATGCAATTAATCCATCTGTTTCCACTGCTCAACATAATAATATTCGAGATGAAGAAGCAAGATTTCATGAAGCAAGTCGCGCTACATCTTCTGCTACAGATCCAAATTTGCTAAAAAAAATTGAAACATTAAACAACCAAGTTCAGCGCACAAAAAGATCTAACCGTACTGTATATTATTGTACACAAAGAGCTCAAATAATCGAAAAGTATGTTTTGAAGTCAAACTCCAGAAATATAGAAGACGAATTTATGATATCGGAACTTATTGACTTGAAAAAACTTAGGCATAAAAACCTGGTCACGCTGATAGATGTTTTTGTAGAAAATGACAATATACATATTTTATCTAAATACATGGATGGCCGCACTTTGATTGAATATCTGGAAAAAAGCAGCAAACTAACAATTTTAAATAGGTATGAAATTTCTTTGCAAATAGCCAGAGGAATGAATTACTTAGAAGATAAAAATATCATTCACCGGCAACTAATGACTAGAAACGTAATAGTGCATATTATTACGGGCAATATAAAAATATCAGGCTTGTGGCATTCTAGAATAAAATCATACAATTGTCATGAATCTGAACGGGACGACTTATCTAAGTTTGCAGCTCCTGAAGTTTTGCGAAATCAGGAGTTTTCTCACAAATCAGACGTGTGGAGTTTTGGTGTGGTCCTTCATAATATATTTTCGGATACTGAACATCTCAATCATTTTCAAGCTTCAAACGATATAAACTATAAGTGGCTGCATAAAGGTCATAGATTATTAAAACCATGTTATGCAGATGATGATATTTACAGTGTAATGGCCAAATGTTGGAGTTGGAAAGATGCAGACAGACCAAGTTTTAGAAAAATACTAGAATTTCTAATATACCTAAGCGAAAAGTAATGACTTGTAATGTTCTTGCATATGAGAATGGAAAGGGTTAAGTGACTAAATTTATGCTTAATATTTATATTATATATATATATATATATATATATATATATATATATATATATTCTTAGACAGTAATGTAATAAATGTTTAAATTTATATAACCTACTTGAATCAAAAAGTAAATAATTGAATTATATACATTAATCATGATTTATGGTCATGATGTTTCATTATTATGTTATCAATAAAAACACAATAAAAATATATATTATAAAAATATATATTTTATTTTATATATATTATATATATATATTAGTGTTATGAAAGCAAACGTAAATCTTTACTCCTTTGAACTTGTATTAGCGTAACAAAATTCTCCGTTCTTTCAAAAACTTGATTGTATTTTCTGCCCTCTTTGCTCCGTATCTCCGTAACAGCTGGACCTCCTTTGCCGAAAACTAATCAGCACATCTACCAATCAATAGGAATCGAATGTTTTTAATCATTCAAATCGGTTGATCCATGCGCCCGCAAACGTGGATGAAAAAATGCGGACATACAAAACACACACACATCCATTTATTCTGCGGTATGCCAAAATGTTCAGAAACCTTCAAAACGCGAAGATATGCAAAATTTTTTATTTTCGATTTTCGGCCCATTACTATAACTGCCCTTCGGGAGTTTAACACTTTTAACTACCAGTAGGGCAAGTTATAGTAATCGCAAAAAAATCGAAAATGAAATTTTTTATATATTTTTACGTTTCAGAGGTTTTTGAATATTTTGGCCTACCTTAGAAAAAATGGGTGTATGTGTGTGTGTGTGTGTGTGTGTGTGCGGATACAAGTTTCGTAGACCGAGCACGGTCAAACGATTTAAAAAATTCAAAAAACATTCGATTCGTATTGATAAGGAGACGTGCTGATCAGTTTTTGGCAAAGGCAGGTCTAGCCGTTCGGAAAATGCAGTGCAAAAAGAGCCAAAAACGGTAACTCAGTTTTAAAGAGAACGGAGCGTCCGATCTTAATAATTCAAAAAACATTTTACTTTATTGACAAGATGAACAACTGATTAAATTTTTGGGACGGCAGATACAGCGGTTATGGACTTTCAATAAAAATAATTTAAAAAATTTCATATGGCGGTCAAATATGTTTATTGGAGATCAAATTATCATATATTTTATAGAGATTTAATAATGTGTACACATTTTGTGTAAATTTTTTTGGGTTCCGTACCAAGATTTTTAATTATAGTACGGGAAGTTACGGCAATTTGCCTTAAGGCATGATGTCATGCACCCCACTAGTTCCAAATTGCAAAGAAACGGCTCGATAGATCGCTGCACAAAACTGAGAGAAGATGATCTACATCAAAATACATCGATTGGCTTTTAAATTTTTGTATTCGGTTTAGGCATTTTTGAGCAAACGTCGACGAAAGTTCTAATCTTGACAAACACCAAAAAAACGATACTAATTTATGCAAACTTTGACGAATTTTTCAAATGAAACGACTTGTTGTAGTACCGTAATATTTTAGTATGATCTAAGACTATGGTATCTATCGTCAAAAAAACTAATCAGGTCGATTCCAACCAATGTCTTTCCAACAGCTTTGAATTTTCAAAATCGATTCAGAATAACGGGCTAAAAACGTTGATGAAATTTTTTTTCAGAAATTTTTCTTTGAACCAACACTCGAGAACGTGGAATAATATCATCATCGTCACTTTCTTCGAAACCTTGACTTTCAGAGTCACTATCATATGATAAGTCCAATAATCTATCAACGCATATTTCTTCACTATCTTTGTTACAACGGCTCAATTTATCAATTTGTAATCAACAATAAAAAACAAAGCCTCAAAGTGACAAAACACGACTATTACGTTCTGGAGCTAGGAGTTCGATTGAAGACGAAATAACTCAACAAAAGACCGAGTATCTCGACAATCATAACTTGTAAACAAAAATGCAAAGCGTGAATGCAAAAAATGCAAACACCACGCATATAATGTCACACATGCATATAATTATACGTATTTAGTTGATTTGTAGTGGTTAGCAGGTGTCCACACCAAATCTACTAAATAGTTATTTTTACGTGACCCGCGCTCCAGTGACATACTGCAAAAAATGTAAAAATACGTTGCCCGCATGCTAAGTGTTAAGTACTCGAACAGGTAATTATTCACAAGTGTATTGTATAACTACTGGATTGATATTCGTCTAAAAAGCCATATGATAACATCAAAACAATTACTGAATATCCTAGTATGACGAATTGTATGACATTTTAAGAAGTCCAAAATAGATTTGCCTCTACAATGCTACACTTAAAATTTTACTTTTATCACAAAAAAAATCATAAATATCGAATGTCACCTTCTTCTCGACATATTTAAAAAGTTAAATGAAAAATTTAAATCATTTATTTTTAAAAATGAAGACTAATGTTCAGAAAAAGAAAAACATACCTAATGGTACGCTCATGCCGATTAGCACGATAATATCAATTATCTATATCAAACGAGCAAATCGATAATAACTTTGATATAATTATTATAAATGTAGGAAGCGTACTGTATATCGCATTAAGCGTATGTTCACAACAATAAAGAGCTTATGTTTGAAAAACCTCTCTGTAATTTTAAATTTAACTCATTGTAGTGCCTAATAAGAAATGGTAAAGTCGATCAAACTTGTCAATATAAAACAAAGAGAACATCAACAAAATGAGCAGACACGAAGAAGATGATGCATGTAAGTAAGGCACTAGAAGAAGAAATTTTCTGAAGCTTCCAGTTTTGTGTACTAATCTATTAAATGCAAAATCATCGATAATTGAAATAAAATTTCAAATTGGTTTTAACCTCTGAAGTTGTTAAATTGATAATACAATGAATATTAACCTAAATCAGGTTTCTGTTTTAGTAAAAATTATTTGATTTTTATTTCAAAACCGACTTGGCCCAAAAGCGTGGACGAAAAAATATGGACCCACAAAACACACACATATCTATTTTTTCTGAGGTATGGCAAAATTCTGAAACCTTCAAAACGTGAAGGTATGCAAAAAATTTATTTTCGATTTTCGGCCCGTTATTATAACTTACCACCACGGGAAGTTAATAAAGCCACCGTGTCGTTTTGTTCATATATGCCCTTTTTGTCCGTATTTTCACTACATATTTATATTCCAGTTTCAAATCATTCCAAAATACGATGGTCGTAGCTCTTTATCCGTTCGACATCGAAGGCACAAACTTTTCTTTCGACGCAGGCGACCAAATGCATTTACTGAATGAAAATCCTAAACCTGGCTATTATGAGGTTATGAATCTGCAAACGAGAGAAAAAGCACTTGTGCCAAAAGCATTGGTGGTCGAATATGGAAGAATTGAAAATGAAGAGTAAGTAAATATAATAATGATGTCTTGACTAATTACCATGATATGATAAAGAAGTCATGTAATTACTATGAAAACATAGACTCTTAAATAGGTTAGAGCGGGGCTTAAGGTTTGCGGGTGAAAAAGTCCACCACCAATATATCAGAAACAAGTAAAGGGTTTTTCAATAACTACAGTTATCCAATAAGACATTGGATCTGTTTGCTCATTGCCAGCTCCATTCTACCCCGCCTATCAAGTAAAAAGGAACAGGTGACAAATTTTAAAACATTGTAAAAACACATTTATATAATTAGCAACTAACTGGAGATTTAACTGTAGATAATATGATAGTACCTTGTTATGATACGTTTGATATGTGTTATGAAAGTTCATTTAGTACAATAACGTCAAATTGGACCTTTGTGCCCCGCCCTTCCCTAAAATTCTACAGTATTTCTAATTCATAATTACAATAACATAGTTGGTAAATTTTATGACATATTTTGAAATTTCAGCTGGTATATAGGAAGCGCTACATGGGAACAAATAAAGATGATATTAAGTGGGAAACAGAAATCACATAGCTTTCTAATTTTGAAAAACGGAGACAAAAAGTTTTTGCTCGGATTTCTAGATTCAATAAAAAATGTAAGGCATTTTGATATCGAAATTAATGATAAAGGAAGGTTTTACATTCCCGATATAGGGGAAGCAGCGTCATTTGCAAGCTTACCTGCACTCGTTTGGTATTATAAAAGTATGTATTTAATTATAAGTGTATTAAGTATCAAACATATACAATTTTTAATTTCCGCATTTCAAAAACAATATTATGAACAAAAAGTTATAAATATAAACATATATCTCTGAGAACGCCTAAGATTAGATACTTCCATTTCTAAATAGCCACCAGTAGTTTGTTGACAGCAACAGAATCATTCTAAAGTATTTGATAACAAAAATATAGGCAACTATAAACCATATGTAAGTGGCATTTGCTTTTAAGTTAAGTTGCATATCTGTAGATAATCAACAAAAATCAAGATTTACCACTTTCGTAGATCTTAGAATGTTCGTTCAAACCACTAAACTATATCGTGAGAAAGACCAATTTAAAAAAAAAAACTAGCTGTAAGTGGAATTCTATAAACTGAATTGCAGAGTTGAAATTATTTGTAAAGTATATTAGAACTATAGTCAGAATTAAAAAATAAAATATGAAATATTGTCGATATACAAAAAACTAAAAAAAAAAAAAAAATTTTCCAAAATCAAATTATTTTGTGAAGACAAGCAGAAAGTTCTTTGAATCATGTAAAGCGGAACGTTAGTTCTCTCAAAAATTGCCATTGTTTACATTATTTAGCTCCGATCTTCAAAATGGCTGGGCCTGCTTTGCCAAAAACTAATAAACACTTCTCCCAATCATTACTAATTGAAAAAATGTTCAATTCCGATTTTCGGCCCATTAAATAACTTACTCTACGGAAAGTTAATAATAATAAGCAGAATACCAACTATCGACATTTTTTTCAGAATGTTGTATATGAATAATATTTGATCAACATATGAAATACCTTTATATATTGATTTTTGAATAAACATTTGTACTTCCAGCCAACAGTCTTGTGCAAAATTTGAAGTTGTCCGAGCCTGCCATAATAACGTCTCATATTAAACGATTTCTAAAAAGGACAGAAGCGCCAAGAAGAATACAACAATAGAAGCCTCAAACAAAGAATTGCAAAATTCAGATAGAATGGCATTTGGCAATACTGATCAATCGTTTTGGACGAATAACACCTTGGAAAAAATAGCAGATGGATTAAATGCTTCCGAGGCAGAACAAGTGGTTTGCAACCCTTCTTTACCGTTCGAGCCCGTAGAAATTTCTGATGACGATGACGACGATCATCAATACATTCAAACTGCCAATGAAGATTCTAGAGATACATTAATATTAAAAAAATCACCTCCAAGAATATCGTCAGAAATGATCTCGCCTGATGCTTCTACCAGTATATACAAAATATTGCAAGTACACAACCAAATGAAGTTGAAAGTAAAGGAAAGTCCTCACTTGATAATAATGATTTGCCAAATCTGAAAAGAAGAACCATCGAGGAAATGTTTGGTGAACTCCCTTCAACATCTGCTGGTACACGAGAAGAACAACCGCCAAATAAGCAAATGCGTATAGGTATCAATCAAACATACAAATATGTTATTAATCCCAAATTATTAAAAAATCAACTATATCTTTTACTATCTTTACAGATTATTATAGAAAACAAAACAAACAGATACAAAATAAACAGATAACGTTTGCTGATAGTGGAACATCCGAAGAACAGAGCGATGAAGAACTACAAGAAAAACAATTGTCACAGAGTGAAACGGCAAGAAAAACATTTTCACAGAATTTTTATAATACATTATGTGGAGAAGAGTCGAAAAAAACACTTGCTCCATGTCCGAAGGTAGATATAAGACAGAATGAAACTTCAAATAAGAACCATGGTCTAATAAATGATATATTGTCAAGCGAAGAAAGTGGTTTAGGGCGAAAGAAAATACTATCGACTGATAAAACATTGTCTCCAGAGTTTTCTCCAAATAGACCATTACAAGAAGTCCATGCAATGAATCCATCTGTTTCCACTGATCACATAATAATATACGAGATGAAGAAAAAAGATTTCATGAAGCAAGTCGCACTACATCTTCTGCTACAGATACAAATTTGCTAGAAAAATTTGAAACCTTAAGCAACCAAATTCAACGCACAAAAAGATCACATCTTACTGTAAATTATTACACAGAAAGGGGTCAAATAATCGAAGAGCATGTTTTAAAGTCAAACTTCAGAAATATAAAAGACGAATTGATTATATCGGAACTTAGAGATTTAATAAAACTTCAGCATAAAACCTGGTCACGCTGATAGATGTTTTTGTAGAATATGAAAATATACATATTTTATCTATATCCATGGAAGGCAGCACTTTGATTGAATATCTGAAAAAAAGCAGCAAATTAACAATTTTAAAGAGGTATGAAATTTCTTTGCAAATAGCCAGAGGTATGACTTACTTAGAAGAGAAAAAGATCATTCATCGGCAACTAATGACTAGAAACGTAATAGTACATATTATTACGGGCAATATAAAAATATCAGGCTTGTGGCATTCCAGAATAAAATCATACAATTGTCATGAATCTGAACGAGACGACTTATCTAAGTTTGCAGCTCCTGAAGTTTTGCGAAATCGGGAGTTTTCTCACAAATCGGACGTGTGGAGTTTCGGTGTGATCCTTCATAATATATTTTCGGATTCTGAATATCTCAATCATTTTCAAGCTTCAAACGATATAAACTATAAGTGGCTGCATAAATTATTAAAACCGTTATGCAGATGACGATATTTACAGTGTAATGACTAAATGTTGGAGTTGGAAAGGTGCAGGTAGACCAAGTTTCGGAAAAATACTTGAATGCATAATAAACCTAAGTAATAACTCGGAACGTTCTTGCATATTAGAATAGTTATTTGAAAGACTAAATTTATGCTTAAGTATTTATGTTTAATATTAGAAAAAAACGTTCGAAAACAAATTATAGATTATTGATGGTCATGAGGTTTCATTATTCTGTCATTATCAAAAAAAAAAACAATAAAAATATATATTCTCAAAAAAATATATTATTTTATGTTAGTGCTATAAGCAAACGCAAATCCTTACTCTTTTTCACTATTTTGTGTTTACATTTTGCTTTTCAAAAATATCCTTCTAAGTTATCAATAACAATTTTCCGATAACTCTAATATATTAAAAACTAGTTGAAAGTGGCATTTTGCCTTAAGGCAAGTTGCACGAACTTCCAGAAATGTGTAATAATTGACTTGATCAACCGAAATTGAGATTTAGATATTTAGATTAAATTTTCAACTGTATATTTCTATATTAAAGTTTTCGCTTTCAATTGAATCTTAACATTACGATTTCTTATTGATATCTCTCAATCACTTCTAAAAAATTATCTGTAATTAATTTAGTTATATTGCACTTGTATGTCATAAAATTTTAGCTTATTTTTCGAAATTTTAATGAATTGACAATATTTGACTCATCATGTCACAAAAGAAACTTTTGACACAAGTTCTGACTATTGTTTCAAAATATGATAAATTTTAAAAATTAAACTACTTGCCGTAGGGCGTTAAATTTTAATCGAAAAAAAAAATTGACAGTCAATTACGAAGAAAAGGCTCGGCCGACCTTTGTCCAAAACATATGGACTACTACCAAATAATATCTTTCGAATAGATTTGAATTTTTTAAAATCGATTTCTCTCTCATTTTTAAAATCGATCTCTCATTTTTGTGCTAATTACAAAGAAACGTCTCAGCCGATTGTATAAAAAATCTAACCAACGCGAGTGCTTATCAAGTTTCATCGAATGGTTCTTAAATTTTTGAATACGACTTAACCGTTTCTGAGAAAACGTCGAGAAAGTTCTAATTTTAATATACGTCACAAAATGCTACTATATTTTGTTCAATTTTTGGTGATTTTTTTAAATTAAACGACTTGTAAAGCCGTAATATTTCTAGAAGACCATGATATCTATCGCCATACAAAAATTCATAAGAAGATTACAAGATATTGAGTTAGCGAATTTACCAAAACCTAATCAGGTCGATTTCCAACCAATATCTTCCGAAAGGTTTTTGAATTTTCAGAATCGATTCAGAATAACACACACATACATTTTTAACTTCCCGAAGGAGAAGTTTATGTTTTCATCAAAAATCCGATTCGCTAATTTTATGTTTTCTCGACGTTTCAAGCCATTCTGAATCGAATGAGATCAAATTTGGAAAAAGTATGTGTGTGTGGGTGTGTGTGTGTGTGTGTGTGTGTGTGTGTGTGTGTATGTGATCAGATTTTTTGCCGTAAATCGACGTTTTCTCGAAAACGGCTGGGTAGATTTCAAAAATTTAAAAGCCATTCGATGTATCCCTAGTAGAAATGTATCGTGGCTAGAGGGGTAAAATATCGTGGCGCAATATTCGAATCTTGTCTTTAAATGGACCGGACAATATTTGTTTTCAAAATTATGGAAAATTTGGAAAATTCATCGGAAAAGTGTTTTATATGGTTTATTACAAATAATAAACATGTTTTCCATCTGATTTACGCCTCTAATTCTATTTTTACACGAATTATACATAATTTTTAAATGTGGGCGAAATCCAAGTTTTTTGTGGCCGACCAAGATTCATTTCTTCAGTATTATCGAACTTGGGAAATATGTGGTATTTATAAGGGTCACGAAAAAAATTAACTTTAGATAATTAATTAGCACAAAAATCATGATTTTAAAGCTTTTAAAAAGCCATATGCTCGATCGCAATTGCTAGTTTGATACATTTTTCTTACAAATTCAATATAAATTTTAAATGTGGGGGTTATGCATTTTTTTTCTGGGCAACCACGATTCGTTTCTTCAGTATTATCGAACTTGGGAAATATGTGGTATTTATAAGGGTTACGAAAAAAAATAACTTTAGATAATTAATTAACACAAAAATCATGATTAAAGCTTTTAAAAAGTCATATGCTCGATCGCAATTGCTAGTTTGATACATTTTTCTTACAAATTCAATATAAATTTTAAATGTGGGGGTTATGCATTTTTTTCGTGGGCAACCACGATTCGTTTCTTCAGTATTATCGAACTTGGGAAATATGTGGTATTTATAAGGGTCACGAAAAAAATTAACTTTAGATAATTAATTAACACAAAAATCATGATTAAAGCTTTTAAAAAGTCATATGCTCGATCGCAATTGCTAGTTTGATACATTTTCTTACAAATTCAATATAAATTTTAAATGTGGGGGTTATGCATTTTTTTTCTGGGCAACCACGATTCGTTTCTTCAGTATTATCGAACTTGGGAAATATGTGGTATTTATAAGGGTCACGAAAAAAATTAACTTTAGATAATTAATTAACACAAAAATCATGATTAAAGCTTTTAAAAAGTCATATGCTCGATCGCAATTGCTAGTTTGATACATTTTTCTTACAAATTCAATATAAATTTTAAATGTGGGGGTTATGCATTTTTTTCTGGGCAACCACGATTCGTTTCTTCAGTATTATCGAACTTGGGAAATATGTGGTCTTTATAAAGGTCACGAAAAAAATTAATTTTAGATAATTAATTAGCACCAAAGTAATGATTAAAGCTTTTAAAAAGTCATATCCTCGATCGCAATTACAAGTTTGATACATTTTTCTTATAAATTCAATATAAATTTTAAATGTGGGGGTTTTGCTTTTTTTTTCTGGGCAACCACGATTCGTTTCTTCAGTATTGTCGAACTTGGGAAATATGTGGTCTTTATAAGGGTTACGAAAAAAATCAACTTTAAATAATTAATTAGCACCAAAATCATGATTAAAGTTTTTAAAAAGTCATATGCTCGATTGGAATTAATAGTTTGATATATTTTTGTTATAAATTCAATATGAATTTTAAATGTGGGGGTGATACATTTTTTTTCTGAAATTATATTGAAAACCAATATAAGATTAATATAAATAAACAATATTTACCCCAAATTCAAAATTATTATTTTAACCCATATTTAAAAATATTATTTAATTCATATAGAAAACAGAATTTAACTCATTGATAATATCTTAGGTAATACATAGCTCGATCAGCTCGATCGTAATTAATAGTTTGATATAAATTTTATATGAATTCAATATAAATTGTAAATATTATATTCACATTTATTTTTTCTTTATTATCGAACATTTACATTGGGAAATAAGTAACATTTACATTGGTCAAGAAAATAATCAATTTTAAATCATAAATTAGCGCCAAAAACATCTATGGTGACTCTTAAAAAACATATTTTTGAGAATTAATTAATTAATAGATAAATTAATTAAATCCATTATTGAACGTGAAGATATGCAAAATTTTCATTTTCGATATTCGTCTCATTACTATAAACTACCCTACGGGAAGTTAAAAAAGCAATAAATAATTTAACTATATTGTATTTATTTATCAACTATATTATTTAACGATATTGTAAGTATGGCCATCATTCAATAAACAAAACAAAAACAAAATTATACAAGATTATAATAGTGCAAAAGTATCAGAATATATATATATTAAATTTAAATAATGTGAGTAAACGAGAAAAAAATGTAAACAAAATGTTTGATAAAAAAAACAAAACTTCGAATAAAATAAAAAAAGTTAAATAATAAAATTTTGTGATTAGTCACATGACTTGCTTAAATTTGTTTTACCCTGATTTGGTATGTATTAATATTATTTAAATCTGTTATATCTGCTAGTAATATATCGATTTATATTTATAAATTTAGACGTTTTATATTTATTCATAGAATAAAAATTTCTGAAATTGCATCATATGTACATGTATGTATGACCATACCATATATATGTACGAACATCTGTTTTTGAGAAACTACTCAAGAGTGTCTCTTCTTTCTTTCATATAACCGATGTTTGTATAAGACTATCTCACTTCGTGTACGATGCGAGTCCTTTCTTCTATGCGTGTCCTTTGTCCTACGACGAAATATTCTACCTGACTGTGTCAGTTGTGGCCAAAATTATTTTATACGTATTTTATGAACAAATATTATGTCATTGCACTTTTGTTTTAATTACATATTCTTACA